TTTTAAAAAGTGCAAATAACCCCCCCAAACTTCACTTTCTTCCCAAAACTCGCCCCACCCTATCGTCGCCTGCCGACCATTTTCAGGCCATCGTGGTCACCGGATTTTAGCACCAACATCATCTCCTCATCAACCCCTAACATTCCTACACAAATTTCAACCCCAAAAAACAACAAAATCGAACCAAAATTCGGCCAAAAAATTATTCCATATGCACTCCATACATTGAATGCACGAAAACTTGAAAACAACAGAAAAATTATTCCATATACACTCCATACATTGAATGCACGAAAACTTCACAATAAACTAAGGCAGTATAGAATTGAGATTCCCAAAACCATTGCACAAATGTCTGAATTAAATTGGTTGGTAAACAATTGACTCATTCTATCGCAAAAATTTCCGTAAAGTTTTTTTTTTTCGAAAAACAGTGATAATAGCAGTGTATATATATATTTTACAGATTCAAATAATAAAGCAACTATATAAAACCAAACCAATACAGCAAGGAATGCTATATGAAACCAGACCAATTTGTGGGTTAAACTCACCGGTGAAGGGAGCATTTTCCGGCGATTTAGGCAGCGGTGGGTGGTGGCCGTAGGGAGGAAGAGGCGAGAAGAGAGAGATTTTTTTATTTCATTTTTAATGTTTTAATAAGGCTTTTGGATTGATTTACACTGTTAAAAAAAATTTGGGGTTATAATTGCAATTAATTCTTTAGCTTTTCTTTTCTTTTTCTTTTGAATGAGGGGCAAAATAGTCAAAAACATGTGAAAAGGACGTTCAACGCACAAATATTTTGAAGGTAAGGGCATAAATGCCAAGAAATGAAAGGTAGAGACGATTTCCTAAATCAGCCCCAAAGGTATGGACGTTTTGTGCTAATTAGCCTGAATTCCCAAATAACTTACATTTACGACAAAGGAACAGTTATTTGAAGTTTCAATCTATGGAGGCTAAGGAAATGTTGACAAATGAGAAGACATAAACGTGGGTAACAACAAAAAAACTTGGGCAACAGCAAACATTTGGTCTCTAAACAACTTAATGTTTTCCCTCTCAAATCAGCTGTACAATATCCAAAAAAAATTGTAAGGGCTTTAACTGATTTCATCAATTAAATGCATCTACTTTGACATACCCGTCGAACAGACTACATATTGCAGAAAATAACACTGGGCACAAAAATGTCAACTCTTCCGGCCGTAAACTACCTATTTCTGTTTTCCATTAACTTCAACAAAATGATGATTAGGTTGAAAACATCTTACCCATGTCGTCGCCGGTGTCGCAGTTGTCGGTGTGGGAGTTGCCAGCTTCGACTTCATCTTCGTCTCCATAGTAGAATGTCTCAACGTCAACTACAAATGGGGGTAAGAATAAGGGGTTCACTGACTTGTGGACTCCGCCGTCCAAGTCCTGGGCATCGTGGAATGGGTTTTCAAGTTCCTCCATTTCGCCGTCGCCAGACGTGCTCTGAGTAAAGGAATGGAAATGACTGGAGAGGTTGTCTTCGTTTAACAAAATGGCNTTTTTTTTAATGAGGTGGGGACCCACCTCATGTGAGGATCTGTTCCTCATCTAGGTAAAACCATTCTGTGCAAATGGTTTTACCCTTTTTTTTATTAGCAGGTGAGATATTGAAGTCAAACCTCCTCCGCCACGTCATCATGTAGTAAACCATTTAGTATATTAGGAATTAAAGGCTAATTAGTATAAAATGTTCCTACCTTTGGGGTTGATTTCGGAAACCGTCCCTACCTTTCATTTCTTGGCATTTATGCCCTTACCTTCAACATATTTGTACGCTGAACGTCCTTTTCACATGTTTTTGACTATTTTACCCCTCATTCAAATAAAAAGAAAAGAAAAGAATTAATTGTAACTATAATCCCAAATTTTTTTTTAAAAAGTGTGAATCAGTCCAAAAGCCTTATTAAAACATTAAAAATGAAAAAAAAAAATCACTCTCTCAAACGGGTTGGGGAGAACAATTGGAGATCATTTGGCCTTCAATTCATTCAATTGAATCATTCCAC